GAACAGATAGGCTCCATATGGCACAACATACTGCACTGAAAACAGTGAGAAAAGAAAAAACAGAACTAAAATTATATGTAAAATTCTATTTCAATGTATTCTTGAGGCTGGGAATTTCAATGTGTAAGACTCAGGAATACCCATTTCTAAAGGTGCTCAAAACCATAGTTAGATGAAACATTTATTGTACATGTAGTATCTTGATGCTATCATTTACAGCCACAATTTACAGGCTATTTTATGTGCGCAGGGCATTGTACCTAGATGAAGCTCTACCAATGTAGCGCCTATCTGGAAAAAGAGTGAAAAGTTACGCATTGTGAAGGGAAGTAGGAAATAAAGAGAGAAAATGGGACCTTGATCATAAAATACCTTATAACCTAGGGAAACACGCATCAGATTATAAATCAGAGGAACGTAAGTGACTCCTGTGAAAAGTCTTGAGTAATTTAATGCCCATTCCTGAGGGAGATACCTAACAAATAAGATAATCAAGAAGTTGCACAAGTTTTACCCGGCTTTAAACTAAGCCTGCTGGGGGATGGGGGAACTACTGCCACTGCTGGCCCGCTGAGCAACCCTTGCAAAGCCAGCAGGCCAAGGCACTTAAGGGGTCCCAGCCCAGCCTGAGCCCTGGAACAAAATGTAGGCAAGGCAAGAGCCCCCAAGGGGACACTTGCGTGCCTATACACAAATGCCAGGAGCCTGCGGAATAAACAGGAGGAACTTGTTCTCCTGCTAAATGCAAATAACTATGTCATAGGGATAGCAGAGACCTGGTGGGTCTCCACCCATGACTGGGCCACAGGTATAGATGGCTATACCCTGTACAGGAGGGATTGAGTGGACAAAAGAGCAGGGGGCGTAGCTCTCTATGTCAAGGAAAGCTACATGTCCCTACAAGCCAACACTGGCACTCACGGTGGACGACTTGAGACCCTCTGGGTTAAAATCTGTGGGGAACACGGCACAGGGAATACTATGGTGGGAGTCTACTACAGACCCCCTACCCAGGGAAAAGACCTTGACCAGGAGTTCACCAGGGAATTGGCTGAGGCCGCACACTCCCAGTATATGGTTGTCATGGGAGACTTTAACTACCCAGACACCTCGTGGGAGGAGGGCTCAGCCAAATCCAAGTGGTCGCAAAGCTCTCTCTCATGCATGGATGACCTCTGACGCAGTAAGTCTACGGGCCGACAACAGGTAAAGCGCTGCTCAACCTCATACTGGCAACCGGGGACGACTTAATCAGCGACCTAACAATCAAAGGGACGCTGGGTGACAGTGACCATGAGCTGATCACCTTCACCATCTGCTGTAAAGCTGGAAAGTCAGTCAGTAATACAGAAGTCCTCGACTTCAAGAAATCTGAGTTTGACAAGCTAAGGAGGCTTGTCAGAGAGGCCCTAAAGGGCCACAACCCAGAGAGGGGAGTTCAGGATGAGTGGTTGCTCCTCACGGGAGCAATCCTGGATGCTCAAGCAAAGTCCATCCCATCTTGGAGGAAAGGCAAAAAAGAGCACAGCAGGCCCCTTGGCTCTCCAGGGAACTGGCGGACCTCCTGCATCTTCAAAGGAAGACCTACAAAGGATGGAGGACTGGAACCACCACCAAGGAGGAATACTCTGCTTTGGTCTGGACCTGCAGAGAGTAAACCAGGAAAGCCAAGGCTGAGATGGAATTCCAGCTAGCTACAAATATCAAGGACAATAAAAAGTCCTTGTTTAGATATGTGGGGAGCCGGAGGAAAAGCAAGGGCAACATTGGACCCCTGCTAAACCAGATAGGGCAACTGATGCCCAGGAAAAAGCAAACTTGCTAAATGGGTACTTTGCACCAGTTTTTCACCAGTCCCAAGGGATGCCCCTGCCCACTGTGGGTGAGGGAGGCCTGGGTGAGGGATATTCCTAGTGAAGGAACACACCTTGACAGGCTGGATACCTTCAAGTCAGCTGGTTCTGATGGGTTACACCCAAGGGTACTCAAGGAGCTGGCAGGCATCATAGCTCAGCCCCTGGCATGGATCTTTGAGAGCTTCTGGCACTCTGATGAACTGCCCAAAGATTGGAAGAGGGCCAATGTTGTGCCTATCTTCAAGAAACGGAGGAAAGTAGATCCGGCAAACTACAGGTCCATCAGCCTGACCTCTATCCTGTGGAAGGTTTTGCAAAAGATTATGAAAGAAGTCATCCTTAACAGACTAGCTGAAGGCAATATCCTGAGGGATACCCAGCATGGGTTTGTTGCGGGTAGGTTTTGCTGAACCAATCTCATTTCCTTTTATAACCAGGTGACCTATCACCTGGACAAGGGGGAAGAGATTGACGCTGTATATCTTGACTTTAAAAAAGCCTTTGATCTGGTATCCCATGATCACCTCTTGACTAAACTGGCTAACTGAGGCCTCAACCTCACCACAATCCGCTGGGTAGGGAATTGGTTCTGTGGTAGGACCCAGAGGGTGGTGGTTGACAGAAGCCAATCATCTTGGCGCACGGTAACCAGTGGGGGCCCTTAAGTCTCTGTCCTAGGGCCTATACTATTTAACATCTTCATCAATGATGTGGACATTGGTGTCAGAAGTGGACTGGCCAAGTTTGTCGATGACACCAAACTCTGGGGTAAAGCATCCACACCTGAGGACAGAAGGGTGATCCAGGCAGACCTTGAAAGGCTCATGAAATGGGCGGATGAGAAACCTGATGGTGTTTAACACCGAAAAATACAAGGTTCTCCACCTTGGGAGGAAAAATCTGCAGCATCATTATAGGCTCGGCTAACGCTGGTTAGCACTACAGATAAAAGGGACTTGGGGGTCATGATTGACCATGTGATGAACATGAACTTTCAATGTGATGCTGCAGCTAGTAAAGTGAGCAAAACGCTGGCTTGCATCCATAGATGCTTCTCAAGCAAATCCTGGGACGTCATTCTCCCCTTGTATTCGGCCTTGGTGAGGCAGCAGCTGGAGTACTGCATCCAGTTTTGGGCTCCACAATTCAAAAAGAATGTGGAGAAGCTTGAGAGGGTGTAGAGGAGAGCCATAAGTATGATCAGAGGTCAGGAAAACAGAACTTATGATGACAGGCTGAGAGCCATGGGACTATTTGGCCTGGAAAAGCGCAGGCTCAGGGGTGATCTGGTGGCCACCTATAAGTTTATCGGGGTGCTCATCAGGATCTGGGGGAATGTCTGTTCACCAGAACACCCCAAGGGATGACAAGATCGAATGGTCATAAACTCTGCCACAACCAATTCAGGCTGGACATAAGAAACAACTTCTTTACTATCCGAGGTCCCAAGGTTTGGAATAGACTGCTGCTGGAGGCGGTTCAAGCACCCACTTTGTACGCCTTCAAGACACATTTGGATGCTTATTTTGCTGGTATCCTATGATGCCCGCTGACTTCTTGCCCCTGGTGCAGGGGGATGGACTCGAAGATCCTCTGGGGTCCCTTCCAGCCCAAATGTCTATGAAATCTACTTCAGGCAGACATGAGAATAAAACCCAGATATATCTCATGAGACACAAATTTCACCCACTTAGCTATAGAATGAATATGCCAAATTATGTATATGCCTCTTCTGATGAACAGGCCAGATGCTGCTTCCTGTGTCAGAAAAAGAACTGATCAGAGGTCAGGAAAATAGACTTTACAACAACAGGCTGAGAGCCATGGGGCTCTTAAGCCTGGAAAAGCGCAGGCTCAGGGGTGATCTGATGGCCACCTATAAGTTTATCGGGGTGACCACCAGTATCTGGGGGAACGTTGTTCACCAGAGGGCCCCAAGGGATGACGAGGTCGAACAGTCATAAACTACTGCGAGACCTTTTCAGGCTGGACATAAGGAAGAATTTCTTTACTGTCCGAACCCCCAAGGTCTGGAACAGCCTGCCATCAGAAGTGGTTCAAGCACCTACATTGAACACCTTCAAGAGCAAATTGGATGCTTATCTTGCTGGGATCCTATGACCCCAGCTGACTTCCTGCCCTCTGCGCAGGGGGCTGGACTCGGTGATCTTCCGAGGTCCCTTCCAGCCCTAACGTCTGTGAAATCAATGAACTGATATCCCACACTCTAGCGCAATTTCATATTTCAAAGATATCTAGCTGGCAGTCCACCACGGGCCAGGAGGCCCACAAGTGGTTATACTGTGGCCTGTGGGGGACAGCACAGCTTCTAGGTCTGCTGCATTAGCATGGCTCCAGAACCTAGGGAGTAAAGGTTGGCACTGCTAGAACTCCCCATACCCATCATCAAAGTCAGATCCTTGGTAACAGTTGATGACTAAAACAGTTTGCAGGGGAAACAGGAGAATGAGCCATGCCAACACAGCTGATTTGGCAGTTGCGCTAACAAGCCACAGCCCCACCATTGGAGTTGGGTTGTCCAGTCCACAGTAAGCCCCATGATCTGGAGCTGACCCATGAGTCCAAATGAGCAGGACAGCCTTGTCACATTTAGTCATGTAACTTACAGCAAAGAATGTGCATTGGATCTCCACGGAAGAAACAGACCATGAGGGTCATCAATTCAAACACCCGTGGCCCCAGGCACATATGCAAGACTTACTGTTGTTTCTCAGCCATCCCAGCTGCCTATCCAACCTCTTCTTGAAAATCTCAAATAAGTAAGAATCCACACCCTCTGTAGGCAACTTGTTCCACTGTCTTCTCTTTTTACTGTTGCCCCTGAGATTTAATCTACTTTTGTTTTGCTGTAGTTTAAACCCCACTGCCTCTTGTCCTGCCCTCTACAGCAAAACAGAACGGAATTTTCTCCTTTTTCTTTACAGCAGACCTTCAACCATTTGAAAAATGTTAACACATGCCTCCTTAATCTCCTTTTACCTAACAAAAAGTCTTGTCAACCTAACCCTAAATTGCATGTGCTTTTCTTGCAACAACATTACATTGCTGACTCATGCTGAGTCTGTGGTCCACTGAAACCCCTAGATCCCTCATTCTGTATTTGGGATACACTTTCCTTAATACCATATACTTTTCTTTGTCTATCTTATCCACAGTCCACCTTTTCTGCATTTGTGATCAGGGGCTGAACTGAGCAGCTTCTAAATCCATGCAATAATTTAAAGATGAAATGTATAAATATCTGCAAATATAAAAATTAGTTCACTTGGCAATTTGTAATGTCACATATGGAATTACAAAAATATAGGCAGCTGTATCTTTACGTAACCTTAAGACATTGCAAATATTTTAGTGTACATATTAACAACCATATTTGAAAGGTTTATCAAAACAGAAAAAAAAGTCTCAATAATATCCTAACTATTCACTTATCTAGAGTTTTTTCATTGGAAGAAAAAAATAAGAGAGCAGGGAAAGAAAGAGGAGCCAGGAAAGAAACTGAACAAGAAAAAACTATCGTCAGAATGCTAAGTGATAAGAATGCCAAGCAGAGTGATCTTGTAGTATGCAGACAGCATTACAGATGAGACTAAATTAATTCTTGGAATTTATAAGGCATAGCTCATATGGGATGCAGCTGCACCATTCTGATGAATATTGTAAATAACTTATTTTTTTCTTCTTTAGCAGAACTCAATTTTTTCTTTAGGCAGATTATAGCCCAAAAGTAAAAACCTGCAAGGTTCTCTCATTTCATCACAAAAACTAGTGATTTTCAAACCATGTTCCACGGGTGCCCTGGGGTCCTGTGACAGGTCACCAGGGGTTCTGCAAATAGACTAGGGGTAATGGCGGTGCAGGCTGGAAGGCACTGCACTGCCACTGCCAGGCAGCCTGGCTCCATGTCAGTCTTCAGGATAGGGGTAAGGGTTCTCTGGCAAAAGAAATTATATGAAAGGGTTCCACTTTATGAAGTTTGAAAACCTCTGATGTAAGAAAATGTAACAAGAAGTATTTTTGGTTAAATTTTTGGGAAGATGTGTTTAAAATACTTACAGCTTCTATATTAGGTTTGTGTGATTCTGATTACGTTCTCACTGCATTCAACACAAATTAGTACTCGTTGATGTTTCTTGTGACTATTCTGCTTCACTGTTTGTTTTACAGATCCCAAACCCCTCTAAACCCTAAAACATATATTTGTCTTGTATCCAGTAGGTTAATTTTATTATTAAAGAAAATAATATTGCACTTTTCACCCTAAGAACTTCAGGATCCAAAATGCTTTATAAGTAACAGACAAAATTCTTACCTTCAGTACACACGCACATTTGTTTGTCAGTGCAGATCTCTGGGATATATTCTGCCTATTTCACCATGTTACATGGACTATTCTTCATTAGATACACATGCAGAAAAATCAGTTCACCTAGCAAAAGGAAAAAAATGCATAAAGCAACACTGCATACACATTTATGGGGGGGGGGGGGGGGG